CCCCCCCCCGCCTCTCACCGCCCCCCCCCCGCCGGGGTATCGTCGTGGAAATGTTCGCAATCGATTCCGATCGGAATCGCTCAATTGTTTCCTAGATTGCTATCGTGCTCTCTAGGAGAAAATATATCGGAATAATTCCGCGATGGGGTCCTACGCGAATTGACACTTTGCCCAGACTCGCGGCTAAAATTGCATCTGGTACGGTCTCCCTCGGAATTAATTATCCAAAATTATTGCACCGCCCTCCTCCGTGAACTCCACGAAGGGACGTGCATTTTTCTAATTTTAATTAACTGAGAAATTAGTTTAATTAACTAACTGCACTCACTGACGTCGATTGACTGATTGTTTCTTCGATAAGAAAGAATATAGCGCAACTAGAAGATTCTGATTCTTATTGCATTATCGCTCGTAGAAACGCGCGAGTACATGAGTGTGTATATGATTGGCAAATGTATGTACGCGAGTGTCCGCAGTGTATTGTGCTCGGGTCCGTGGATTCGCTAAATAACTGTGTGGATAAGTTATATCTGCGGCAAATTAATTAGCTATTTTTACCTGAAAAAACAACGTACAGCCAGTAGGAAGAGGCCCGTGTAACAGGAAATTAATTAATCATTTTCCAATGAGCACAGTTACGCCACCTAACGGCGTCCGTTTGAAGACGGTTGTCGAAGATTTGAGTATGTCACGCTCGCTGGATAATGCAGAGTTCTTCCCTAGAAAACGGTCTCGTGCATTATTACAGCTTCATTAATTTCTCTGTAATTCAATGAATTAACAGCACGTACATCGACCAAACATAAAAATGCCAATGATCCAATGTCAAATATCGCGATCTTGCAAAAAATATTGCATTCTCATTACATTTGACAACAGTTATTAATACTCCAATAAATATTTTTTTCGCCAGAGAGATCGCAATGAAAGTTGGAGCTTAATATGCAAGTCTCGAGTTTTCCATTTTCTGGTTAAATCTTGACCAGAGATTAGTCGATTATCTATCTCTTCTTAGATAATAATACAGAAACAGATGAAGAGCCGACTAACTTCTAGTTAACCAGAAAATGGAAAAACCGAGCCTCGGAGTCAATTTCTTTGATAAAGACAACTACTTCAATCCGAGCTATCGAGTGCTCGGATTTTTATACTTCAATCAAATAAAATTATGTAAAAAAGCTAGACTTACTAAATAATTATGTTTACAGTTAGTCTTAACGGGTAACGTAAAAGCTAATACACAAAGAACGGCTTTTCTCTTAGTATCCTTAGCAACGAAGAGAGGATTGGAAGCGACGCAACGGCGTGGCCAGGATAGAGGCTTTTCTATAAAATTAAAAAAATTTATTAGAGCTTGCCTAAGAGTTTCAGACAATCACATAATACAATATATTAGCATGTCGCAATAGATGCCCCACCAATACGATATATAAATGAATTTGTCTCGTACAATTCTCTCTACGATGAGTATCTTCCGTTTGTTACAAAAAGCGACGCACGTATGTTTTCCCCCAGCGTGCGTAATGACTTCATGAAAATTACCACACAGGACGCGATCCTTTTTGGAAGTTATATCTAATTAATAAACTTATTGGAAATACTGAAAGCAGAGCGTCCCTTTTCTTTATCCTACCATGCTCCTTCGGAGCACATACCTTTCTTTTTATTACACATTTGTTCCTATAATCACCTAATAAGCGCATAGATTGTCGTCACCTGGACTTTTCTTGTTTCTCTGGTCAAAACGGTTTGCGAAGAAACTCGGGTATATAAAATATATAATATATATCATGTCTACGTTTATCATTACACATCTAATCTGATCCTAGAATGCTATCGTCGTTCAGCAATGCTACGATTTGTAAGTATTACATAAAACTAAAAGACAAACTTCTATCTTATCAAAAGATATGGGTTTCCGCAACGGATTACGTCATATTCCTTCACTCGCAAGATCAAGTTCGGAATCGAACTCGAGACCCATCAACTATAAATATATCGACCGCTCTTAGACAACGACAAAAAAATGTCATCTCAATATATCATTGCATTCATTTTTTAAATAAATATTTAGATAAAAAATAAATAAATGATTAACGTGAGACACGAAACTGTCATTATGTTAGTCTCGATATCAATGCAAAACGCGATATGTACAAAAGTTAAAATTAACAGGAAAACACATGATTAAAAATCGACATTTCGTTAACATAAGAAATAAGTAAAATAAAATTTACGTGCAATAGCATCCTAGGATCAAGGCACGACAGGACAGAACGTTTTCGGGATAAAATCTAAGTTGCGGAATGTAAATATATAATAAAAAAAAACCTGCATAATAGAGGAATACGATTAATGTTGCCCTGTATTCTCCGTCCAGATATAAACTCCCGCACGGAGCCATCCCTTCTAATAAATCGTAAACGTAATAAAGGAGTTTACTCAGGTATCGTACCGTTAATCGTGGCATCACATGAAACGCTATGCTAAAAGCGAGACGTTACGTTAATTAAAAAATATCTTTCTCTTTACATAGTGTTCGGTTGTTTCACTCGATCACATGGTTAGGCCTTTGTAGAGTTTTCGGGGACGCGATGTATCCGCTCTTCACCACGTTTACGACAAGATTTTTGGGCTTCGGCGGTAACGGCGGAGGCTTCGACAGTTTCGTATGCGACATGTCCGCGCTCCCGTAGCTCCCTGAGTGCGGGCTTTTCGTTGGGGAATCTGAGCCGTTCTCGATAATCGTTTGATCTCCGTCCACCAGCGTCCGGTCACCGTCTAGAGTGAACGAGCTGTCAAGGCACTTGCTTACAGACTCGGTAATATTAACCAAGGCTGCGAATTGTTCGTTCGCGGTTCCATTAGTCACGTGCGCGGGATATTCGTATCCGCTGCTGCTTTGCTTATCCTCGCTGGAGTCGTAAAACTTGGCGGTGCCCTCGCAATTAGCCGACACTACCCGATTCCTTCGCATTTTGTTAGAATTCGGTGGTTTCCCGTTCTCCTTGTTCTAATCAGTAATTTAATAGCCTTAGGATTCGAAACGTATGTATAACTTATGGTATACAGATGTGAAAAGTGTTTACATTTGTACACACACGAAAATTCTCTACTACTTTAAAATCTCAATGTAAGATAGAATCAAATAAACCGAATATTTCATGCGCAATGCACATTCAATTATACCTTTAAGAAATCTGGCAGTTCGAAGTTGATTTCAGTCCCTCTCTGGTCCTCTAATCTCGACCTTTGTGCCCTTTTCAATCCCTCGTATAAATCTGTAAGGCAAAACAGTTATGACTTGAATAAATTATTTTAATAGATAAAATTTTGTTGTCCTTTGACATTTGTAATTAATTATTTTTTAATATTTAAAGAAATAAGAGTCGTTCATTTATAAAATAAACTGTTTAAAATTTGAATAGATTTCAAAACATCTTACATGAAAAGAGAATGTGGATTCGTTCTTACCATCTCCGTCAAATCTGCCTGGAAGTTGCAATTTTACACCGTTACGCCACTTTGCGATAAGTGGTGGCTGAGATTTAATGGGCGCTCCCTCATGTATGCAATCGTTTGCATTACTCTTCTCATTTGTGTTGCAACACTTAGATTTTGCCTTGACCAAGAAAACCGGAAGTAAGTCGCGTGTATACATAAACAATTAAATTACTTAATTGGAAAGGTAGGAGCACCAAATATATTACCTTCTTCTTCCCGTGAATTGTTGAATCCCGAAGAAAGAATTTGCTAGATAAGATGGAAGAGCTTTCCGAACGTTGATCATCCGACTGTAAAATAATTCGATAAAATAGATACAATAAAATACAAAAAAATAATATTACAAATAACATGTTGCATAACAGAAAATTATTCTTTGAGCATTGTTATGCTTACCTTGCATGACCCTTCACTATACTGATACTTATTTCTGCTTTTCCCAACTAGAAGTTCCTCAAATACTTTATTAGTAATTTCATCCAGAGTCGGTTGGGCGTGTGGCACTTCATCTAAATACTTGGCAGTATGCAACTCCCGTTGAAAATCTGTGGAAGAATAACATTTAATTAATAAAATTGGAATATTTTTAGCAATTGAAGTAATATCCTATTTTAATTAAATTTTAAGATGTATTACAATTTACTTCAATTTTATATCAGAATATTTAACACACAGAGTTTAACACAAAAATTCTTCAAAATATTGATATAATATGGATATCATTTCCAAAAATATATTTTGCAAAGTACAAATTTTTCATTTATAATTATATTGCGTTAATATATTAACCTTCTTCATTCGCCACTACAATAATGCGCGTAGGAGCATTGATAGCCATAATATCCATAGGAACGCAACGGCCTTCGCTCCAAATACTAATCAAGTCTAAATTAAAACCATATTTATTTAGAAGAGGTCTCAAAACTTCCTTCAAAGTTTTGCCCTTGTGAGCGATAACGCTTATTATCCTTCGCGAGGGTAATTCTACTTTTAAAACTTTTGTAAGAACCACTTCCACTTCCTGGCCTGCTAATACTGATGAAAAACATTTTGTGTCCACCATCTGCAAATCGACAATATAAAATAATAAATACATACTATAGAATGGTTATATAACAGACGGTCCATATTAAATTACAATAATTCATCAAAAATATATGATAATTAAGATATGAGTTATAAGGCAAATATGTACAGATAGCAGGATATTTTTTGCGTTTTTACAAAATGTAATCAAACAATTTTCGTCTTTTCCTCCACCAAGTTAAACATTATACAATATAGACAAAATAATAAATAAAAGAAATACACTACCCGTGAAATGTTCACTTCGTGCAAGTAATATAAAATATTACAGAGGAAGGTACTTCATTTATGAATTATAATGCAAAAAAAAGCGAAAAGTGCATGCGTGAGATCAACAGTATTTCTCGTAATGTTTGCATTCGGTTAAACAGAAGGGAGCACAAACCTCATCTGTTGCTAGTATCAGAACGTCATAGTTAGAATATCGTAGAGCTCGCTTATCGAGGAGACGGGTAACCACATCTTTAATGCTCTCGGTTTGACTGGTTGTCACTACAGTAGTGGACCCATCAGGCAATATAACTCGACATAAACCCGTACATTTGCCGCGGTCTCTCTTTTCATTTGTTTGCCCATCGTGAGACGATACAGACTACAAGTGAACACATATTCGCTCACGTACATATTGATTGATAGACATTTTTGCATTGGCATTTTAAAATCCATACGAATTGACGACATAGCCTGATACTGTTTTGCGATACAAGTCTAAAACAATCTATCAACTTTACATTAATCAACTCTAGATTAATTATTTCACTGTCAAGAATCTTTGTCTGTCCAATTTTCTTATTTATTTTCTAAAAAACTTTACTTAGTAAAAAAAAGACTAGCAGTTTGAATTAAATCTATTCTACAGTAGCTGATGCATCTTAGTGGATTAATGCAATGTACATACTACTCTTTCACCGGATTATTATATAACAACATAAACTACTTTCTCAAAAAGTATGTCACTAAAAGCACTCTCTACAGAATAGATTAACACACAACACTCGTTAAAATAACTCAACATTGCAAACGAAGAAATTTATCACAAAAATTGTAGAAGTTTCATGTTTCAATGCTAGCGCATACAATTCATACGACAGTCTTTCAACTCAATTGTAAAAGAATGGCAATCCTGTCATCAAGATGTGTATTCAATGACTATTCCGTATTTACTCAAAACGTCATTATCATCCAATTGCTGTTAGTTGCAATGACACTTACGTGTTTATTAAACGACTGCCGTAACGCCAAATCCCACGACGCTAATGACGACCGACTACTGGATATTGACACGGTGTCCTCATTATTGTTACCTTCCGTTTCTCTCTTAATAACTGTAAAACTTTTATATATAGTCTCACTTCGGCTAGGAGCTTTGTTGTACTCGGATTCACCACGATCTTTCGACTTGGACCTGAAAGTAGAAAATAACGTTGCCAAATTTTAGTGAAATGAAATAAAAATATACTTGGCGCGAGCAGACACTTTCGTCCGTATCGATAGAAATGAAATTAGTAAATTACCCACCTATTCTTTCTGTTCCAGGGAAGAATCGATTTGCGACAACGATCTTCCGCATCGGAATGACTCTTCTTTAATTTTACGCTAGGCGAACTCGTAAGATGTAGATCACAGTCTTCTGTATCGACAACGGCGCTCCCCGCTTCCAAGCAGGCACGATAAAGTTCCGATCGTAGGAATCTCGGGTAACTGTCGAACTTCATCAGGTTGAACACTTGTTTCTGAGCCTGAGAGAGTAAAGCGATTATTCGATGTACAATAACAAAATTTACAATTCAACTTCATGACGAAGTAGCTCAAGAAAAGATATTCTGAGAGACTTAACAATGAAACATTTATTTTTAATAAAGATAACTGTTGTGCAATATTCGTTATCTTTTGTTTAGAAAAGCACAAGCTTTTAACGATATACATACCTGCAGAAATAAATCCGCGGGTGCCTCGTCGAGTAATTCTTGGGTAATTTGTCCCGACGCATGACTATCAACGTTTACTGGCTCGGCGGCTGTACTCGACAAATGGCGCTGATATATCTGATAAGCTAATCGACGGCGAAGAGCGGCATCTTTAGTATCCTTGTATCTCTCACAAGCGGCCCAAAAATATATATTTTCATGACTAAACTCCTTCTTGAGAAATTCCTTGAATGAGATCAACCGCGTTCAGTAATTACACGACGAACGCGTAACGTTCAGATCGAAGGATAAACCGCTGACCAAGATCATGTACACCAACGTCTACTAATGCCCAGTGGCCCTTACTTTATCTTATTATCTTATATCTTTTTAGATTCTTTATAATGCCCCAGCGAGGCCAAATAATACCCACTAATGCCCCAAAAAATGCCTAGTAATGCACGAAATCAACACAATACCCTCTGCGGTTTACCCGACGGTTCAGATGCAAGAGGAATCGCGTGCTACTCACAGCGAACGTTTGCAAGCCCTTTGGATCCTCCAACAGTTTCTCAAATCCATTTGCCCACGTGTGCACTCCTTTGCAGTCGCTGTTCTTGTCGCAGGACTCTGTACTGCCATACTGCAATAAAAATATATCCCATTGATTAAAACTGCGTTACCGCAAACGAGCAAAAGGTTTCGTCTGAACAAAGAAAATTGCATCCTTTGCTTCTTTACTTCGTTTCAAGTAAATGTTGTTATTAAAAATTTCTCTTGTGGTCTAATTAGCGAGGTAACTTAATATTACAGAAAGTCGGCAAATTAAATACACTTATGTTAGATAATTCTTACTTTTCCTTGAACTCGCGCATCTCTCTAAGTTAACTGTTATTAGATTATTCGACTAAGGAAAGATTCCTTTCATAATATGAACAGAATGAACGTATAGAAATCGTTGGAGAATAAGTGGCGTATTGATAATTGCTACAATCGCAGCTGTGGCTGGTCAACATTATTGCTACGCACAATCGACGATTTCTACTCGCGACTTTATTTGCCGATTATATCGCGAAATCCCCGGGGGAGATTCTAATATTTACTCCGGCGCATTCCGAGCTGGAACCTTTGCGGTTCAGCAGCTGTCGTGCAACGCAACAGGTGCGCGCTATGAGAAAACGCTTTCTTGGATCGCTTCGCCTCGCGTGCTCCGTTTTCCCATCCCCTTTCCCCATGAACCTGCCTACACAAGTGCAGAGCCAACGTTTCATCTTCCCACGTACGATTTTTCTCAATTGACATCGCGCGCGACTAGACGAGCGACTTGAACGGCAGCCCGGCGAGAAGTTCGGGGAAGATAACAAGAATCGGTCGTTATTGAGATCTGATAATCTGAGGGTCTCTCAACTCGCGTACTCGCGTAAAGATAACACAATCGTCTTTTCGCTACGCTTAAACTTGGCGAGAGACACTACCGTGTCTCTTCATAATAGTCGCGACAGTGTTCCGAGGAGGAAGCTGAAACGCATCGGGCAATTTGAGGAATGCGGCTTGAACGAAGACAAACATGAGTCGTCGCTCATGACGACGAGTCCAAAACACGTGATTACCAATAATTAAGGAAATAAGCCGCGTCAGCGCGCGCGCGCGCGGGCCGCCGGGGGAGACGTTAATGAACGATCGGCGGAGCCGGCTTAATTGAAAAGAACGCAATTATTGCACTCCCCTAGTAGCACAATACATTGGGAAATAATATTGGTCCAATATTGTAAGACGGACGCTTTCTCTTAATTAGCCAATATGCCTATTCAGCAACGATGGTCTAATATTGTATCAATTTTAGGCCAATATTCTTATTACATTGTCAAATACTGGCCGACGCGCTTCCAATATAAATCTAATATTATGTAATTATTACCGTACAATATTTACATTCATTCCACGGCCAATATTGGCTTCACGTTGTACAATATCGGCCAATGCATTTCTAATATAAGCGACATGGGGGCCAATGTTTAGCCAATGCACTGTGCTACTAGGATCTTTACGGCCGATGGTTTTATCCCGGACTCGACTCGTTGTTTTTACGGCGCGCCGAACACCCACCGAGATGTACGTGCGATGTTGATTTATGTTCACTTCGACCTCTCCTCCGCGCTCGCTTTATTACTTAATCGACCGACATACTGGGTGTCAAATTCAACGCAACGCAGAAGAAGGGCGGGCTGAATCCTGCGCGGGACACGGTTCGCAGTTTCTGTCAACTTCTCTGACGAGCTCTCTACCCGCGCGCCCAATGCCGACCGTTTAACTTACAACAGACGGCGAAACTTTTCCTATCTGCTCCAAACTTGCCGAACAATGCGTCGCCGAGGGAAAGAATACCTGCCTCATTTTTTTTTTTACGTACCAATCTCGCTAGCGCATCCATGTCACGCTCGCGGGCCACGCGTTTTCGCATCGGCAGCGGAAGCGGCGGCAGCGGCAACGTCATTTATTATCCTCCCGGGGCTCGCACGCACCGGGCGACGGAACAGGTAGAGGATAGCTCGACGACGGCGACGTCGACGACGGACGATTCGCTTGTGTAACAACGAGGGCTCCGCCCAGCGTGGCGACCGGGCATCGCCGAGCGACGGCCGCTCGGCAGACGACGTGACGTGACGTGACGTGACGCGACGTGACGCGACGCGACGCAGGACACTACAGGCCGGCGACGACGGCGATAACGAGTACCCGGAACGACGCAATCATCCGCGACATAGTCGCGACCGCACACACCATGCGCGCCGCACGGTTACTACCGCGTTCACCCCGGCGTGTTACAACGCCGAGGCTGGGGCCACTTTACGCTCGAACAAGGCCCACTTCCCTCCACGTCTCTCCCTCTCTCTCTCCCTCGACGCCGCTCCGACTGATTCATTCTCATCGTCGAGCCGCCGCTCGCCCCGCGCCTCTTCCGCTTCCATCTCTACCACTACTACAACGGGCCCGCGCCACGGCCTTTCCCTCTCTGTCTCCACCGACGAACTCTATCGTTCAACCTCGTTTTAACATCTATGCAGGGCCGCAGCCGGTCGCAGGGATTCGCAGGGATTCGCAGGGATTCGCAGGGAGTTGTTGGACATCTCAAATCTGAGGATCAAGGCGCGGATGTGCCGATAGTAATTCTGCGCGATTAACAGCTTCGTCGGAAATGAATAAAAACCCCTATACCTTAAGGCTAAATAAACGCACCTTTGATCGATTTGATACAATTAATTTATACGAGCTGTCGGCTCGCATTCGCTGTACAAACGTACGATTCAATGATAATGAGAATGAATAACGTCTCGGATATGTTTCAGGTGATATTATATGATCGCGACATTAATAGAGGCTGTGATACATAGCGTGAGAAAGACGTGGCGAATTCTAGGCGTGCGGAATGGGCATTTTCTATGCGGCCGACCCTGCGTCTATCGTCGTAAGATCTATTCATGCACCTAAAGGCGGTGCATCAACCTCAGCTCTCGCGGGAACGTTCTTTTTAACGTTACTTCAGACATTGTCGACGGCGACGTGGCTGTCGAGAGGTATTTTCAATTCTGCGCCAGCACGCTCCTCCCTCAATGCCATTATGCTAATTCGCGTCGTCCTGCGATTTTAAGAATCGCAACGTTTCGGCTTGCCGCTGCCCACGGATATTCGAGACGTTACGCATTCTCGTCTATCATTTCCCGAGATCACCGTGCGACTATAATTTTCATATTCTGTCCCTGTTAACTTTGAAAGAATTTCAACAAGGAGATTTATGCCTGTTATCACCAACGTCGTTTAACTTCCCTCGTAGCACAGTGCATTCAGTGCATTGGCTAGAAATTGGCTAAAGATTGGTCCAATGTTGATTATATTAGAAATGCATTGGCCGATATTGTCCCACGTAAAGCCAATATTGGCCATGGAATAAATATTGCACAATAATAATTATGTAATATTAGATTTATATTGGAAGTGCATTGGCCAATATTTAACAATGTAATAAGAATATTGGTCTAAAATTGATACAATATTAGACCAATATAGAGGAGGCGTTTATCTTATAATATTGGACCAATATTGGGAACACAATAGATTTACAATAATTCCCAATATTGCGCCAATATATTGTGCTACTAGTGTTTGATCTCACAGTCAGTTCAATTCATTCTTTGCCTCTTTTTTTAAATGTCCCCTTAGAAAGAGACAAAAGATGATTTAAAACCAAGATCAAAGTTAAACGACGTCGGTGAAAATCGGAAACAAGAGAATTACTTCCCAAATTGGCTTTCGCTACGAGGTGTGCTCACTTCGAGTTCGTCGGAGGATTCGAAAGAGAGGAAGTACCTGATCACCGAGATAATCTGTACAAATTTGTAGCACGCGAGCTCGATTCGACGAACGGTATCTGTCGCATCAGTTCGTAATCCCATTCCTAGAAGCGACAGATACGCTCGTACGCCAAATACAAGGTAGCCGCACGCGCGTGTAAGTAAAACGCGGGAACGCGTTCGCAGGCAGAGCCGCCGGTCTGGTTTCTGGCTGTTTCGTTTTCACTTGACCCCTGCCTGCGCCTGCACGAGCGCGAATCAGAGGCAGGAAACGATGACGCAGCCGTGAATAACGAGTACACGGGAGGAACCGGAAATCGTTCGCGACGACAAAATCCTACGGGAGCGTTGACGCTACTTGACGCACGTTTTCGGAAGCGAGAATCGGAACTCGTGAGAAACGAGGGGGGAAAAAGATACGATCTCGCGTACATTTCGCTAATTGACGTAAAAAGATACGTTTGCTCGCGGTAATTTAGATAACACATAACGATAAATTAAAATGACCTGGCGTACGCCGTTTTCAAGGGATACGATTTCTCTGAGAATGCCAAGCAATGCAATTATTGAATCGGTACAACTTCCTCAAGTTATAAATAGAAAAGCACCGTGTTACAAGCCACACAACACAGAATAGCATTTTAATTCATAGCGAATCCGATTGCTTGCACTAGTGCGCACTGCGTGCACACTAAGGCCTGTTTATAGTCAATTTTTATATTTAACGTTATCGTAAGTGCACGTTCAAAGAGCGCTTAGCAAAGAAATGATCCGTATGGATGCTCCACAGATCATTTTACTGGCTACGAAATATTTCAAGAGACACTCAAGACGATTCTGAAATATACGAATTGACTGTAAAATGTGAGACAGGTTTACGTGTACCGGCGAAACGGACGGGGACAAATCTCCCGAGAACTACGACCGATCGAAGCGAACAAGGAAAAATCCCTCACTATGCAATTGTCCGAGGCGCTGCTGCGAAAATTCCGTATCTCCTGCAGGCTTCCCCACGGACGAGGCTTGTCGGACTTGCCGGAATACGAGTGACAGTAGGGCGGCCGCGCGTACTCCATGCCGGAGTTGATGTCCTCCAGGCTGTGCACCAGCGACTTGGCGACCTGGCCGCAGTACACCTTCGGGCTGAGCTTGCTCGTAGTGTCCATGAGACGTTGCAGTCCCTCCGTTTCGGTACCTCTCGGCGCGACTTTAGACGACTCCGCCGCGTCCTCGATGCCGTCGAGCAGCGCCGCGGTGCAAACGGACGCGAGGGACCCAACGGACGTACTGGCCAACATAATGCGCACCGTCGCAGCAGGGGCAGATGTTCCGGCGCAGGTGGTGGTCGCACCCTCCCCACTCCCCGCCAAGTGCCGCATCTCTGTGAAAAGCACATTTCGTAGTTCCCCACCACATCTCGCGGCTGTTACAGTCGCGCACAAGCTCCGAAGGTAGGCGAATTCTGTTCCTCGTTCTTTCTCGGAGCAATTCCAAAAGTTGCGCGAGGGACGCTCATTTTTTGCCGCGTCATGTCTCGAACTGGTCGAGTTACCTTTGGAGGGGTCGAATTTCAGTTCCTCGCACCACAATCTGGCCTCCGAGGTCGCGCGGACTGTCAATCGGTGTCCCGCAGCCTCATTGACCGGCTCTCTGGATAATCGCGCGCTTACATTCTGCAAATGATACATCTAGAGTGATTAGAGCCAATATGCATTCAAATGGAATTCACAGGGCTCTGATGTGAAATCACAGATACGGAGTAACCAAGGATACAAGAGCCAAGACGGATGTTAGTGTCTAAATGGAGTTTAATTTTTAAATTGCCTCGTTGGTCGAATTGGCGAGACGCCCGCCTAGTGAGAGGGAGGTCCAGGTTCAAACCCTGGCTGAGGTAAATTTTTCTAACATCCGTCTTGGCTCTTATATCCTTTATTACTTTGTATCTGTGAAATACACATTCCCTTACTTTTAAAACATGCATGCGTTATATTTGTGAGTTATCGAAAGTATCTTTAACAAATGTCTGGAGGTTTAAGATGCATTAACGTTGTAAATCAATTTCTTCAAACAAAACTTGCACTTCTACTACCTCGCCTGCTCACCGCGATTGAAAACTATTTGTAGCATCGGCCCAGTAAATCAAGAGAATTTAGAGATCGAGTTTAGAGAGCGAAGAGAGGTGGCGTTGACAGAAAATAACAGACTGATTGATAGCAAGTACCCTGTATTGCATATTGGAGGAATATTGCCTTCTTCGGTCGCAGTCGTTCGCGTTCTTGCCCGAGCAGCTGACGTAGTCGTCCTTGAAACCAATTCCGGAGTCACTGTTGCTCGAGTGGGCGGTCGACGTGCTGATGTTGCTCGGCTGCGGAGAAGCGGCGTCCAGGCGTATGCGCGCCTCGTTGTACGGGCTCGTCTCCCCGTTGGTGCAATCGGATATGTACAACGTCTGTATGGCACCGATCAGGCTCGTACAACTGTCGGGGAACTCTTGGCAGACGTTCAGCTCCGACGACTTTGTACACATAAATCCGAACACGTTACACGCGCGGGAGTGCACCTCGTGGTCGATCAGCTTGTAATAAATAGTGAAGACGTGACACGAGTTCGAGACGATGTCGTCCGTGTTCTTCATGGACTTGGTCAATATCCCGAAGTACTGCTTGTCCTGCTCGGAGAAGGAGTTGCAGAATATTATCCGGTACGAGGGATACTCGGCGATAACGCGGTTCTCCGAATTGGTCAGCTTGATGTTGGCTACGTGAATGGTGAGGAGGACGGTGGTTGGATTTCGCTTCTCGGCCTTCAGTCTCTTGATGCATTTTCTCAAGACCTGCAACGGGAATAAATTAAAGCTTACACCGCGCCTCGACGTTACCGCTACATCGCATTCGGGAAAAGGAGCCGGGGCAAGTTGCACGTTCGGCTCGACATTGGGTCTGTTCTTTATTGCCGCACTCCCGAACTAGTGCACACTGGTGCAATGAGTTGGAATGAGAGGTAATCTATTTGTTTCATTTGAACTTATTGCACTAGTTGAGTAGTGCAGTAATAAAGAACAGGCCTAGCAAAATCGTTGGACGCAGGTGACGCGTACACCGTCGGAAACGTACCTGCATCATAGAGGACGGATGCAGCTGATTCGGTATGTCGATAGTGCCGAGGTAGCCGACGACCGTTCTGTGCACGATCTTCTCGGAGTCGCGCTTGTGAGACGCCGGCGGCGGCGGCGGCGGTAGCGGGCTGGTCATGTTCCAGCGGTAATGCGGCGCGGGGCAATCGTAGGGGGTTTTAGGGTCGGGCGCCGCCAGGTCGGCCGGGACCGTGTGGAACATCGCGCCGCTCTGCAGATCCCTGACCACCTTCGCCGCCCTGCATTGCAACTGCAAAGCACTCGCGTTAGCGGCCCGCGGCTTGTGCGCGTACTTGGGCTTGGATCTTACGGTGGCCAGGTGGCCCTCCTCGTCCGAGGAGTCGGAGTAATAGTTCTCGGCGATCTGCAGCCGCAGGATGCCCTTGGAGCTACCGATCAGCTGCACCACGTCGTCGTGCGGCACCTTGCTGACGTTGTGACCGTTGACGGCGACGAGGTAGTCGCCGGCGCGCAGGCCGGCGCCCTCCGCCGGGCTGCCCTGCACAATGCAGCTGAGTATGCACGGCTGCTGCCCGGATATCGTGAAGCCGAAGCCCTTGGCGCCGCGCACCACCTCGACCGCCCTCACCCCGTAGTTGACCCGTTTCTTCTTCCGCCTGTTCTGATGCATGTTCTGATGCATGCCTGTCGCAGCGTCACGAGGGCTCCTCGAGGAGGCGGAGCGCGCTCGACTCCATCGTCCGCGGCCTCACGCACCCACGTCGCCGGGCTGGCCGGGCATCCTCCTCCGTGTCACGTCCGCTCCGCGACCCCGTCTCACCGTTTTCCGCGCAGGCACCCGCCGCAGGAAGAGGATGCTCCGCGACGGCGCGACCAACTGTCACTCGGTGCGCGACTACCCCCGGCAGTCCTGGCGGTCCTGGCGCTCGGAGTCCCGCTGCTACGCCCACTCCTGCCCGCGGCAATCATTCGTCGAGCGTTCGCCGAGCCTGGCCCAGGCCGAACCTCGCTAACAGCAGCAGGCTCTACGCGAGCGGATGTTTTGGAATGCGTCCATCGAGGAGGCTAGACAAGGTGATCGACCTTGTGGGACAAACACGCTTAGCCCGAGGTGGCGAGCCAAGTCGGTTCGTAAAGGCGCGCGCCGACGTCGTCGGGCCGAGCGATTGGCTGTTGGCCAGCCAATTCTGGACTCGTTCCTCAACGCCGGCCAATCAGCGCCGCACAACGTCACGGGACCTTCGGGTCTGTTCATTCGTCCCCCGGCAATCTCGACGTTACTAAATTTGATTGGTCCATTTGCTTATAGCCAATCGACAGAACTCTAGTATTTTGACGCTCAAGTTGGCCAAAGTGAGTGAACGCGCTAGAGAATTTTGCCGCCTTGGATTGGACACTACTGGACGTTGTTAAACAACTGAAGATTCAAATTCCTTCGACCCCTTCGACTGGTCTTGTAGGAGCTAGCACGCTTGCAGGTTTCGTATTTTTGCTCCTTCCTCGCAAAAACACAACCATGCAACCGAGTTCGATCCGACGTAGATCGTCCAGTAATCCCGTAAGGAAATCCACGATCGAACGGGAGGACAAGAACTTTCCTCTGTGAATGATCAACGAAGGACGCAGACGTTGAAACCGAAGGGAATCTCGACCGGTGAAACCTCCCATATACCCAGGGCTCGTTTTCGAAGCTCCTCCAGCGACCGAGCGGGATCTCTCGGCAGAAAATCTTATTTGAAAATGACAGGTAAAAAGGCGCTCAAGATTTCTATTTTTTTTCTAACTACTTGGTATGAGCCAACACAGGATAGAAACGTGTCTTCGACAAGGCCAAGATTTAACTTTATTTAATTCGAGATCGTTTCGATTTCCATTTAAATTATGTATGTATGTGCAGGCAGAACTCCACTACAGCAACCGACAACTCCAACACGTACCCCAGTGAGACTCTCCACCAAGCTTAGTGCGCCAAGCGCAGCGTTTACATCAACAGACTTCATGCACCGTTGTCAACTGATCGATCGCCGTCTGGCGACCGTGCCAGCAGTGTGGGAACTAAGGGTCCCAGGAAGGATACAATGCCTCTAAAGGACAAGGATTATGAGATGCTGCTAAACAAGATAGATTCGTTCTTTGATGTAAATCAGTACTCGACGATAAACAGCAACGGCAGTTTGAAGCCGATTACATCGAAGATGTTCATGGAGGTCTCCTGCTTCTTACTGAAGTACTTGGATGTCAAGCACGATCTCACAATGACAAATTACACAGATGAATTACCGAAATGTGCGAAGAAGCTACACTACCCAGGTAAGATGATAAAATCATGGCTAAAGAGTCCCTATACGCCGAGCTCGTGACCCTATGTTCTTGGTTGGATCAGCTGGCTGGTGGAAGCGTGCCAGGTGAAAGAACTCGCGATCAAGAGATACCAACTGGAAACTTTGCCGTACATAGGAACGCAGCAACAGGAGGCAGGTTTCAACATGGAGTTTCAAACACTATTGGAGTGCTACAAAGCTTGGACTGACGAAAAACTTGATGATGAGGCGGAAATATTGGAGCAATATCTGCAGAATGTTGTAATTCAGCAAGGCATTACCGAGAACGATCTAGCTCAGGCGCATAAAGAATTGGAAGAGGAAGTAATTGAGCTACAAATGCATGAAAAAGAGTCAATAGAATATGATAAAAATATTGAACAGCTACAGCAAAAATTAGCGCTTTTGCAGGCCAAAGAACTTCAAAAATTAGACCACATTAAAGCCACGGAGGATAATATAAGTAAGCTTTGCTCCGAGACACAACAATTAAATACAGAATGTAAAGCTTTGAATGAACAAATTCAGAAAGGAAACATACAGTACAAAGAATTGCATTCAATTATGAGGAATCAACCAATGTCTAAGGCTGAAAAGGAAAGCATCGTTAAAGAGTGCATGGAGATTCGAAACTACATACACCAATTTGACGAGCACTTGAAAGATTACCAAAAGGAAGCGTACACTTTAGATATAAAATTAGCGAACCTCAGTAATAGTCTTAATAAAGCAATATTAGCCCATAATAAAAAGGTCTTTTCCAAATTCGCGATCGACGGTCGAAAGGCGATCCATGGCTGCTTTCGCGAGAAGATCAAAGTGATCCGGATTAAAATGACCTTACGCTATGATCGGTCAAATTTCATTGAATAAAATTTCGAAGCCTCAATATTAGGATTTGGAGGTGAGGCTAACATAACTAAAAAAGTAAGGATAATCTCTATTTTGCTCTATATTATTGTAACTCGTCTCACTATATTTCACTTCAAAATTTCGTGTCGGGCCCGCTCACGCGGACAACCTCCGGTATTTTCACGAGGTGAGATCAACCCGTAATTGGGTGAGTTAGTTTCGTCATTTTCACCCAATCATAGAACCGTAATCGACCCCCTGGATCATTTTCATCTTCTCGCGAAAGCAGCCCATTTTTTCCAAGGCAAGGCCGCCTCCTGCGTTCCCGATATTCTGCTGTTTTTCGCGATCGGCGCACTCTCGCTTCTTTCCGCTTTTCGTTCCACTTCCATCAGTTCCACCGCCGGCGAGAGCCAGTAAATACGATTCGCGCGCGCGCGAGCCGTCGTCAGAGTTCAGAGTCACGCGGAGAGTTGCCGGTCGACTCGGAATAATCGGCGGCCGATAACGAGCTGTTACATAAATCGCGCTAACCGGCGAGGACGGCGAGAGGGGTAAGAGTGATTCCAGCACATTCCACCGTACGTTTGCCTAAAACCGTGGACCGGCGAGCGCGCGTCATGTCCCTGTGCCTCCTAGCCCCGAGTAATGTCGCAGCTCTCGCGAGTTGATTAGTTGTTACGTTCGTTCCGCAGATTACGCGCGCGCGCTACGCGGGAGGGAATCGGGGCCGCGACAGCGAGGGCCTCCCGTCGCTCTCGCAAACGGCCAGTCCTCGCTGCGAACGGTGGCGAAATGGTGCCGCGTCACGGAATTTGCGCCGCGATCCTCTACCTGGGTATTTAAGCGCGCCCCGATCTCCGCTCGACGTCGCCGGCCAGACTCCCGGCTCGCTTCCCGGCGGGGACGCGCCTCCGGTGGCGCTTGGACGGGCGCGTCTCGGGCGTTCGCGAGAGCTGACGCGCGAGTACTGCGCGTCAACCGGTCCATCGCGCCGCCGAAGCGTCCTCGATTCCTCGCTCCGTCTCGTATCGGTCGCCCTCGACCCTCTGGGTGAACTAATGGACTGCTTCGCTTGCAGGAATCGTATCAGTGGTGGGAACACGTCTACTGTCCTCCATGACTCAAGCACTGCAGACCCACGGAGTTATTCCGGACGTGGTGGACAAGGTGCCCGCTGGCGTCCTGAACGTCACGTATCCCAGTAACCTTGCCGTTGAGATCGGCAAGGTGCTCACTCCGACTCAGGTCAAGGATCAGCCCACTGTTCAGTGGGACGGAGAAGCAAATGCCTTTTACACACTGTGCATGACTGGTCCGTAACTTGCGAGATTTGTCAAAGACCTGAGAGAGCGAGAGTGGTGTCTATAATTTTTTTCTTATAAGATTTGCTTCAACGCTCAAAGTATCTGAGCTGCGATGCACTCAACTTGTGGCCTGAAATAGCCTTCGTGTTTGCAAACATTCAGAAGTTGGCAGCACTTTCGACTTTGCTTTTTCATAAGTCGCAACACTTGCGACTATTGTTGACGAGGCTTTAGGGGAAAGTACTCTAGTATAAGATGGGCTGATGGCAGACAACTATCCGTTACCCCCTAATACTGACGTAGTCGTAGACTTAAAGTAAGGCAGAGAAAAACGTAAGCTGTGGAACACGTGTTCCTTACGGCTTACGTTTTTCTCTGCCTTACCTTAAGTCTACGACTATGTCAGTATTAAGCGCTTACGGATAGTTGTCTGCCATCAGCCATAGAATCCCAATATGGGATAGCAGGATTTCTGTTAAATTAATGGACATTTTCAGTTAATTCCACCATGAATTTCTTGCCCTTGGAGCGAAATCTGTTTAGTCAAAACTTCATTGCTAGATTGTGTAATCGTGGCGAAAAAAGATTTGTAATTGAATTTGAGTGTTGAAAACCCGCTGTTTCATATTACAAATCTGTCTCGTAATAGAGGACTTTACTCCAAGTGTAGGAGAGAAGTTACTGCGATGGAAATAATACACATTTAAATTGAATAATTGACATTTAAAGCAGCTCTCGTTTCACTCTCGCTCCGAGTTCTTCGATCAATTTATAATTCAATATGTTAGTTTTAACTTTGTGCTCTAAACTCAATCGCACATTTGAACAGATCCCGACGCTCCAAGCAGGAAGGAACCTAAATTCCGCGAATGGCATCACTGGCTGGTAGGCAATATTCCCGGTTCGGATGTGAGTAAGGGAGACACTCTGTCCGCGTACGTCGGTTCCGGACCTCCCAAGGGTACAGGCCTTCACCGATATGTCTTCCTGGTGTACAAACAACCTGGCCGGCTCACTTTCGACGAGAAGCGCTTGACCAATCGAAGCGGTGACAACCGCGGCAAGTTCTCCATCAAGAATTTTGCCGCCAAGTATAATCTCGGCGATCCGATTGCCGGTAATATGTACCAGGCGGAGTATGACGATTACGTGCCGATTTTGTATAAGCAGCTCGATGGTTAATTTTTTACAATGCATACGATATAATATTTACGACGGTACACATGTTTATACGTAAAGATTGTATATCCAATTATTTGTTGGATAAATGCACACGCACTTTCCAATGTATTAACGTTTGTATATTGTAGTTGAAAAAGTAATAAATACCTTTTTCAGCTCCATGGAGTACAATTTGTTTAAATTCAAGGTTTCGAATTAACCTTTTGGAGCGCTTACCAATTTTTAATAGGTTTACTATTACCCAGAAACGATGTCTACTCGACATCGATAACGAGCGACGATATGTCAGCTCAATTCGAAACACGCTTCGTTAGGACGACGGGGGATTCTTCGGTAATCCTTGCATCCTATCGGACATCCTTAAACATTCCATTGGAACGATATCGTTAAGTGTACCTTCGGATTACCGTGACAGAACAGCCATGGTATACCTGATTATTCTTCAGTGACCGGCGGTTCGTATCACGATCGTATTGGAATCAATCGACATCAGCGTCAAAACTTGTGGTTCTCAAGGCAAGACTACATCTGGATATATGGTCCCGTGCCAGCAAAGCTGATGATCCGCCGTTACTCTTCCGCAGCTTCTTCTTCTTCGCCGTCCCGGCGATCGTCCAACGTTAATTGCGAGCGGAAAAGATGATTGCGCACCGCGTTCAAGACATTCTGGACCATCGCTATCACCGCCTTCGACTTACAGTTATTCTTCTTATGATGCACCACACTGTAAAGATAAGCATCCAATTAGCGGCAATATTAATTGAAGCTGCGTTAGCGCTCGCGAATAATGACGGAAGGATGGAGGGTTGACTGATGAGCGCAAATGCGAGTTTAAGGGCGGTATTCATAGTCAGATCTTACATTTATTAGATACTCCGTAACCAACGAAATGTTCTACACAGCATCTTTAGATAAATTCAGAACGATTTTGAATGTAAGATCTGACTTCACTTTTACCTTGCCGAAGTTTATTTTGAGATCGGCGATTTAGTTTCCCTCCTTAAACTCTGCCAGAGACCCGCGATCGCTGGTTGCTCGAAAATTAAGCACGTATAAATCCGAATTCGCGATCGACGGTCGAGAAGCGACCCATTTTACAAAGATAAGGCGCCTCCTTGCGTTCTCCATATTCTGCCGTTTCTCGCGATCGGTACACTCTCGCTTCTTTCCGCTTTTCGTTCCACCGCCGGACACCGGCGGGAATAAATATGATTCGCGGACACGCGAGTCGTCAGAGTCACGCGAGAGTCACCGGTCAACAGGATACTCGGCGGCCGATAACGAGCTGTTACATAAATCGCGCTCATCGGCGAGGACGAGAGAAGTAAGTGTGATTTCAGCACGTTGCACCGTACGTTTGCCTAAATCGTGGACCGGCGAGCGTGCGTCACCCGGTCATGTCCGTATAAATTCTAGCCCCGAGTAATGTCGCAGCTCTCGTGAGTTGATTAGTTGTTACATTCGTTCAGCGAATTACGTGGGCGGCAATCAGAACGGCAAGGCTTCCGTCGCTCTCGCCAACGGTCAGTTCTCGCTGCGAACGGTGGCGAAATGGTGCTGCGTCTCGGGATTTGCCCCGCGATCCTCTACCTGGGTATTTGGCGCGTCCCGATTCCCGCTCGCTTCCCGCGGGAACGCGCCTCCGGTAGCGCATGGACGGGCACGTCCCGAGCGTTGGCGAGAGCTGAAGCGTGAGTACTGCGCATCAATCGGTCCATCGCGCCGCTAAGCGTCCACGAGTCCTCGCTCCGTCTCGTATCGGTCGACCTCGACCCTCTGAATAAACTAATGGACTGCCTCGCTTCCAGGAATCGTATCAGTGGTGGGAACACGTCTACTGTCCTCCATGACTCAAGCTCTGCAGACTCACGGAGTTATTCCGGACGTGGTGGACAAGGTGCCCGCTGACGTTCTGAACGTCACTTATCCCAATAATCTTGCTGTTGAGATCGGCAAGGTGCTCACTCCGACTCAGGTCAAGGATCAGCCCACTGTTCAGTGGGACGGAGAAGCAAATGCCTTTTACACACTGTGCATGACTGGTCCGTAACTTGTAAGATTTGTCAAAGACCTGAGAGAACGAGAGTGCTGTCTATAATTTTTTTAAATAAGATTTGCTTTAACGCTCTAAGCATCTAAGCTACGATGTACTGGACTTATTTGTGGCCTGAGATAGCCTTCTTCGTGTTTGTAGACATTCAGAAGTTGGCAAAACTTTTGTTACAATTACAACACTTGCAACTAATAAAAGATAATTATTTGTATTAGAGGAAAGTCCCCTAGTATGAGATAGGATCCCAATGTGGGATAGTGGGATTTCTGTTAAATCAATAGACATCATCAATTGATTCCATCATGAATTTCTTGCCCTTGGAGCGAAAGCTGTTTAGTGGAAAATTCATTGTTAGATTGCGTAATCGTTGCAAAAGAAGATTTGTGATTGAAGTCGGGTGTTGCAAACCTGCTGTCTCATATTAAAAACCTACCTCGTAATAGAGGACTTTACTTTAAGGGAATTGTGAAGGAGAGAAGTTACTGCGATGGAAATAATACACATTTGGATTGAATAATGGACATTTCAAGTAACTCTTGTTTCACTCTCGCTCTGGGTTCTTCATGTAAATTGATAATTCGGAATGTTATTTTTAAGCTTGTGCTCTAAACTTGTTCTTACATTTTAACAGATCCCGACGTTCCAAGCAGGCAGGAACCTAAATTGCGCGAAGGGCATCACTGGTTGGTAGGCAATATTCCCGGATCGGATGTGAGTAAGGGAGACACCCTGTCTGCGTACATCGGTTCCGGACCTGCCAAGGGTACAGGTCTTCACCGTTATGTCTTCCTGTTGTACAAACAACCTGGCCAGCTCACTTTCGACGAGAAGCGCTTGACCAATCGAAGCAGTAAAAACCGCGGCAAGTTCTCCATCAGGAACTTTGCCGCTAAGTATAATCTCGGCGATCCGATTGCCGGCAATATGTACCAGGCGGAATTTGACGATTACGTGCCGATTCTGTATAAGCAGTTCGAGGGTTAATTTTTTACAATGCATACGATATAATATTTGCGATGGTACACATATTTATACGTAAAGATGTATATCCAACTGTTTGTTGAATAAATGCACACGCACTTTACAATGTATTAACGTTTGTATATTGTAGTTGAGAAAGTAATAAATACGTTTCTCAGCTTCATCGAGTACAATTTATTTAAATTCAAGATCGAATCAACTTTTTGAAACGCGTACTAATTTTTAATAGGTTTACTATTACCCAGTGAGAGAAATGGTTCGTCGAAACGATGTCGAAACGACGTCGAAATAACAATCGATTCGACATCGATCGACGAGTCATGTCTCGTTGAGTAAATGAAAAACTATTACCTCCACGTTTCTGATAATAACTTGACTCTTCGACCTTTTACATATATTTATCACGAGGACAGAACGTTTTATACAATTTTTTCCCCAGTTTGTGTCAAATTATATGTATACACCTTCACACATATTGCATGAACTAATCTTACGATCTGTGATATAACAAATTTTCTCAGGAAAAATCTTCACCACGAATGTTCTGTGCTGTACGCGTTAGCAATACATATACGATATTGGAAAGGCCGGTGGAACTGGCCTTCTAACACGCAAGCTGGTGGGGATACACCTAGCAATAAAACGTTCCGTCTCTGATCAGTTTCGTTAATATCACTGTTGCAGCTTGCTGAAAACAGTGCCACCAAAGATGAAGCTTTTGATATCAGGTTTGTTAATCCCGATTCTGCTGTTCCGTACTGATCTCATAGAGAAACTCACGGTATTTGATGAGTATCAAGCTTGGCGTTTCAGTGACTTAATACTTGGTGATTTTTATTCACGCGATAATTATATATGTTTCTACAGGAATTCTTCTCTGTGCCGTTGGTTTTTCGTTAGGCGATGTAGAGTCCGAATTTAAGCAGGCGAAAATCGAGCCCGACATCATAGACAAAGCACCAGTCGAGAAGATCGAGGTATGTGTTACCGAAAATGCATGGATACTCGCAAAACAAGAATTTAATCGCAAATTTGATTCACATAATCGACTGTAAAGTATTATTACTACATAATTTACTTATTAATTTTATTACCGTCTTATTTTTTCACCGTAAATTAATTTACATAGTTAAAAACTAGACATTCAAAGTGAAGTGGCTAAAAGTAAAAAATTATCTCAAATCGCGATCAAATTTAGAGATCTCTAATTTTTTGATGTAACTAACAATAAGATATTTGAGTTTGCAGTATAATATGTACCGCATGTTATCTAAAAAATATTTTGTACTACGTAGGTAAAATACGGCAAGAAGGTAGTCGATCTGGGAACCGAGCTGACGCCGACTGAAACTCATGAGATACCAGAAATACATTATAAACACGAAGGCGGAGTTCTGTACACGCTCGTCTTAACGGGTAAGACTCGACACGGTTGAATTAATAATCATAAAAGTATGCTGCAAGGATATGCGAAAAATCAATGCAACTCGAATGAGAGATCGCTTTGCTTTCTTGCGGCGAGTATTTTGTAAACCGCGAGATAACCGAATGCGAATAAAGACGCGCTATCCTCGATGACTTCAACTTTCACCATCTCGGAAACCAGTTTTCTCCACCGCCACTACTTGGCGACGCGCAGATTCTCTGGCATGTTAATTGTCAAGCTAAGACTTATGTAAAATATACAAACGTTTAAGAATCGTGTTACTAATATATTTGCGACTTGCATGTTTCCAATCATATCGCAATTATTCTGGTAAATTTTTTTTTTCGTAAAATTTATTCTTGCCAATCTTAAGGGACGTATTTTATTAGATCCTGATGTACCGAGGAGAGGAGGATACAATCGAGAATTCCGACACTGGCTCGTGGGAAATATACCGGAAGAGAACATAGCTAAAGGCGAAGTCCTGGCGGAGTATGTCGGTCCTGCGCCGCCGAAGAACACCGGGAAACACCGCTACGTGTTTCTGCTTTATAAACAAAATCAGGGTTCAATTACCTTTGACGAGAGAAGATTGAGCACTTGGTGAGGGAATGTGTGGTTGACGGCGCGACGTGCATTGTAGCCGGCTACTTAATAGAAGCTTATCTGATTACAGGGACGGAAGTCAAAGGAAGAGGTTCTCCATAAAGAAGTTTGCGGAAAAGTACAACTTGGAGGGCCCGATCGCTGGTAACTTTATGGTGGCGGAATACGACGACAATGTGCCCGCTTATCATAGGCATTTGAATCTTTAATTAACCATTGCATACGTATTAAACCTTTTCAGATCTAAAACATAAACATAAATTTCATATAATTTTAAATCTTGCATTGCATTTGATACAAGATCGTAAATAAAATTATAATAGGCAAATTATGTATATTTTATTTTTATCAAACCGTTCCCCGTCAAATAATCGTATCTTCTTGTGCATCTCTGCAAAAATGTAATTATAGACGGCAGAAACAAATAAAACAGTTACTTACCAGCAAACAAAGTGACCGTTTTTAACAGATTCTACTTACTTTCGTTGCTGTTGTTTTATTGTTATAAATATAAAAGGTACATGAGACATTCATTACGTTCGTATCCCCGAGGTCGTTACATGACGTTACTGCGCCTTTGAGGGCGTATCACTAGTAGTATGTGTGAATTCTTAATTTTACGAACTTATTCTCTACGATCGATTATTAAATACCTGCGGCTTTAATGGTACGTTATACACATTGACTAGAATATGATGAGCGCAATTCGTAATTCAGCTTACGAATCTGATAAACGCCCCTGTCGAGCGTAATAATATCTTAAAAAGAGCAGAAGCTAAGTCGGGAAGCAGAAAGTTAATTCCATCACGAAGTTACAGAAGTACAGGGTGCAGCCTTCTTCGTCTATGTATCGCCTTTAGGGTGACATGGCAATTAAATACGTAGCTGTTGCCATTCCCGCTGTCTCGTAGGCCTTTTAGAATATCGATAATCCATGTTTCAATCTAATCAAACATTGTCTCTCATATTCTCCCGCATAATCCTCGAGAATATTCGTCTCCTTCGATCCTTCGAACAAGTGCGCGTCACGTCGCTTCAAAACGCAATTGAAGAAACGCGACGTCTTATTACCGTACGCTTTTATCACACTATATTGGTAGACAGCGTAAAAATTAATTGAATAAATAAATCTTCTCGTCAATACTATAATAACGCGCTTCACTTGCAGCTTCTTCAGTGTCTTAACTATTGTATATCAGTACAACTGCACATAGTTTACCAGAGCGGCTAACTACTTATACCACGAAAAGCAGCATTTTTTTTCCAGAATAGCACCAATTTGAGCTCACTATCGAGTTGACTGATGTTTTCTCTCATTCATTACACTCAAGCATTACGTCCTGTCTCGAAGAAACGTCTAGTCATTTCTATTCGCACATGAAATATCCCGTTCGTGGCAGTGACGGCGGTCTTACATTCGCCTTTGATGACTGGCAGCGACGATATGTCAGCGCAATTCGAAACACGATTCGTTAGGACGACGGGGGATTCTTCAGTAATCCTTGCATCCTATCGGACATCTTTAAACATTCCATTAGAACGATATCATCGAGTGTACCTTCGGATTACCGTGACAGAACAGCAATGACAGATACCTGATAATTCAGTGACCGGCGGTTCGTATCACGATCGTATTGGAACCAATCGATATCAACGTCAAAACTTGTGGTTCTCAAGGCAAGACTAGATCTGGATATATGGTCATGTTCCAGCAAAGCTGATGATCTCGAATGTCTCCCCATCCGCCGTTGCCCTTCCGCAGTTTCGTCTTCTTCGCCGTCCCGGCGATCGCCAACGTTAATTGCGAGGGGAAGAGATGATTGCGCGCCGCGTTCAAGACGTTCTGGACCTTTGCTATCACCGCCGTCGATTCACAGTTATTCTTCTTATGATGCACCCCACTATAAAGAGAAGCATCCAATTAGCGGCAATAATCTTAACGCTACATTAGCGCTCGCGAATAACGACCGGGGGGATGCCTGGAGGGTGTCGCAAATGCGAGTTTAAGAGCGGTATTTAATAGTCAGATATTACATTTATTAGATACTCCGTAACTAACGAAATGTTCCTTACAGCATCTTTAGATAAATTCAGGACGATCTTGAATGTAAGATCTGACTATGGATAGAGGAAAGTCCCTTAATATGAGATAGCGGAGTTTCCGCTAAATTAATGGGCATCATCTATTGGCTCCACCATGAATTTATTGCCCTCGGAGTGAAATCTGTTTAGTGGAAAATTGATTGGTAGATCATGTAATCGTTGCGAAAAAAAGATTGGCGATTCAATTTGAAAACCTACAATCTCATATTAGACTCCTATCTCGTAATAGAGATTAACGTTCCCTCTACTGGTCTTATTCTCCCTTTGTGGGAAATAAGCGAAGGACTGGTATACTCGCCATTCTCCGATATGGAAGACTCTCGGAGCTCTCATCGTCATCGTGATCAGCCCGGATTCAGCGCGGGGCGCTATCCCGGCGCCCCGACTGGACGGCATGCACGTTTGCGCGATATACTGCAGACTCCAGTCCCAGTTGTAGTCGTCGTACGAACAAAACTGGGCCGCGCATTTCCGTAGCTTGTTCCACGTGACACGATTGAACGCCATGCCCATGTTGTGTTTGCTGGATATCCATGGAGTGACTTCCGCCTGTTTCAACAGAACGAAGATCATTGTTATCGAGCAACGGTGGAGAGACCACGCGATTTATTTCTTCTTCGTGTCTCTTACATCACATAAGATCTACTGAGGGGAAATCTAATCCAGACTACGTGCTTACAACTAAAGCAAACGGTTGAGACAAAGTCAGAATTTCAGTCGCGAGCATTTCCTACAGTACATCCTACCGGACACGAGGAACCCGAATTGCCGTTTATTCTTGCCAAAGACGTGGCTTGTGACTTGAGCCATGCGCGCGAAGGTACTTGGCACGCTCGCAGCAACAATCGGGCCGATTGCATTATGACTTTGTATCGTGCATGTGACGGTGACAGATGCTCGGAACGTGCACTACTGCTCGGAGGAAATGGAAATTCGTCTACAGAGGCATTCCACCTATTGCATTCGGCATGGCAAGAATATGTGTTGAACGTTGAATTGATACGTTACGTTCACCAAGTTCTTCGCCAAGTTCGCACAAAATTCGTTTACTCTCTACACGATAAAGAGCGCGCTTTTCCGGTCCTCTAATTCAACGTCAAACTGCCGGAGAGCCGCCGATCGATCGCCAGGCAATGCGTCCTTTGCTGGCTGGATCGATGCGAGTCGGTGGAAGTGAGGCGTGCAAAATTTGGCAACGTACAAAGTTTGCCGAGGGAAAAGATGGGGAACTACTTGCACTTTCCTAATAAACGGCGGAGGACGAAGCAAAAGAAAGAAAAGGAGGATATGTGGTGCGAGGCCAGGCGAGTAGAAAGAATCAAAGTATGACGGCAGGCGATTGGTTGCTGCTACTCGGGCGGGATTCGGTGGTGGATTCGATGGAGAACCTTCTGATAATGATTGTAGAGGCTGGGCAGGAGTTGGAAGGCCCACCCGGGCGCCGCTTGCAACGTGTGCGCGTTCTGATAGTAGGTGGATGAAACGCTGACGCCGCCGCCGCCGCCACCGCCGCCGCTGCTGACGCCCTTGACGGTACTCCCGTTACCGACGTTATTAACGCCGTCGCCACCACCGCCGGTGACGGTGACGATGCCGCCGAATCCGTTGCCGAGTTGCTGCCGCTGCGCCATCGCCGACACCTCTTGCCGCTTTAATCCACGCAGCAACTCCTTCTGCAGAGCGCTATCGACGCCGAGGAACTAACGATCGGGCGTGCGTGAAACATCGACACAGACAAACTAATGGTGAACATATGATAACGTCGGATACGCTTAACGTCGTAACCGTGCACCGATGCGCAACGCCGTGACATTTTCACCTTCGAGATCTCTCTCTTTCTGCGTGTCGAGACGGCGAAAAGGAAAAAAAAATTACGCTGTGAGAAAAGTACAGATGTCTTGTTTGATAAGCGAGGGGGAGTCGCGTTTATATTGGGTGTGGTGTATAACGCTCGCGCTAATTTTGCCAGATACTGTCACGCTACAAAGCGCCAGCGACAATGTACTCGTGCGCCAGTAAGAAAATCGCCGTTGTCGTAATACGCCTAATTATGATGGGAGAAATGAATGCGTGTGTGAGCCGCTAAACAAACGTCAGATCGTCTATGCGTGGTAGATCGCCTGTAAATGTGCCTCTCGTCAATGTACGCCCGCCCGGTGTATTCGTACGTACTTATTCTGTGCATGAAACATCGCGCAAAGCAGAATTACCAGTGTAACGAGTACGCTAAAGATACGGACAAGTTCTCACCTTACGACTAAAGTCCGTAAAATAGTTGTACGTCTTTAAATATGTACCCAACGAGAGAACGTTGCATCTCTCGCAGCTGAGCTTGCAAGTGCGCTCCATGAGTCTGAGCACGTGCAAGAAGTCCTCGGCGACGTAATGGTCCTCCTCGAGAAAGAGGACCATCCCGGTGTGGTTTCTCGTCACCGACAACTGATCGAACACCCTGTTCGCTTTCCACCACCAGTGATGCTTGGTCTGCGTGAACTTGGCCTCCCTGTAGTGACCGTACAGGTCTGGGTGTTTGGCGTTGGTGCATTTTAACTTTAAGGCCCTGCAATTCACGAAGGAGAGACAGCATTCGATTAAATTCACGGGAGATCGCTCGATAGATCGCAAACAGGCGAAGTGCCGCGACTTACTGTTCCTTGCGAATATTTCGCGGACAGTCGTTGGGTCCTTCGCCGGGAAACGTATGGGGATGAGTCTGTATGCTGTGCGGATAGAAAATCTGCATGACCCTGCAAAAGTCGACGCTTTGCACGAGGTAGTTGATATCCGGGTGCCAAATGTCGTGGCTAAATACGAGAAGGGCCTGCTCGATGTCCTTAGCTTGCGCCAGTGAGACGATAAGGTGCCGCAGATAAGTGAGCCGTGTGTGCACTTGGATGACTATAATTGGAGCATCGCTGGCCAACGGCCCGAACGCCTCCTCGTTGAACACTTTTTGCTCCGCATTCGCCCGCTCGATTTTATGACGGATTTCCGTGATCTCCAGATCCGTAAGTGCTCCCGAGCTAGAGTTCGCCAAGCTTGTCGACGAGTTACGTCCTTCCTTTAAAAATCTGAAAACAAACGTTAGCGGACAATGAAATAATTATCAAGATAATTCTCAACGTTGTTTTCAGCAATTTGAAACTTTCTCCTAAAAGTTAGCCTATTTATTTTATCGATAATTGAAAATCCTCCCCACTAAAAAGATAGTTTGCGAATAACAGTAACACCTTGCGAAAAATAGATTCGTTTAATTTTATTTTTTAAAGGAGATGATATCCGATATATATATATATACAATATATATATATATATAAAATTGAGAGATAAGTTTCAATTAAGTTCGCGCGCGTGTATAATAGAGGAAAGTCCTCTATTATGAGATAGGCTCTAATATAAGATAGCAGGTTTTTAACATCAAACTTTAATCGTAAATCTTTATTCACAACAATTACACGATCTAGCAATCAATTTTTCACTAAGCAGATTTCACTCCAAGGGCAATAAATTAACGATGAAACCAATAGAAGATGCATGCCTATTAATTTAGCAAAAAACCCTGCTATCTCATATTAGAAGCTTATTTTATAATAGGAAATTTTCTTCTGATAACAATATCTATGCTATTAATGTTGATAACAGCAACATTGAAGATAATTCTACGGAACCTGTAAGATTACCTGTGCAACTCTTGAGGTACGAGGGAGAAAAGCGTCTCGTTCGATGACGATTGCCCGGAATCATCTCGGCCCGTCAAACTGATCACGTGAAGCTGAAGCCAGAGGAACGTGGCCAGGAAGACGAACACAAGGGTCCTCAATAAAATTCCGCGACCTGATCTCGATCCTCCAGCGATCGCCGTCCCTAAATGATCATCGTTTGTTAAAGCTGTTTACGTGCGAGTCGTTTTTCTTGAAAGCGACGCGAGTTTAAGAGGATTCCTCGGCCATCTTTTTTTACCGACACAGTTAGCTAACTTCAATCACTTATATAAAATGATATTTTTAATTTCTCTTCGTTTTTTTACACAAAGTCAACTATCTCTGGCTTTGTCTTTATGCGTACTTTAATCGCGTGGAAGAATTTTGCAATTTCACAAAGCCAATTTCAAATTTAGTACGAACTACAAATTGAAAATTTCAAATACCAATATCTTTCTTATTAAACTTCTGAACTGAGTGTTTCAAGTATGAAAATGTTCTGCTGTGCGGTCCGCAACTTACCCTGGTATTATTTTGTGCATAAAAGCCGATAAAAAGAATTAAAGGCGCAAAAATTGTATTTGACGGTAAAAAAGATGTCTGAGAGATCCTCTTGAGGGCACTTTAATCATTGCTGAAGAAGTAAATCTAATCGAAAGATCAATCGTACAGACATCTGAGGTCTGTCAAATCGACCCTAATTAAAATAAAAGAAAAAGTTACTTTCACGTAGAAAACGTAATGTTGACACCGCATCTTCGGGCCGTACTTTATTCATGAATGACGTGGCACCGTTATAAACCTACCTCCTGACTTTTTCCTGGTATATTGTGTACAGCCGGGGTATTGCTTCGCAAAACCTTGTATGGTCGAGTCGTGAGCTTTTCCTGCGCATACAGATAAGTAACCGATAAACAAGCGCATATACAGGGTGTTATGTAATACCCGCATCAATGCTTATTGTGGGAGAGAGTGGACTAGACTAAGTCGAAAAGTCCTGTAGCACTTTGCAGGTTTTGCAATAGTTAATGAGTTATTAATTATTAAAAATCGCTGTCTTTGGCCGGCCCACTGCCCAATTCAAACGTGCGGCGAGATCGATCGATCGTTACAACTCTCTGCGCGCCTAGTAACGATCGATCGATCTCGCCGCACGTTTGAATTGGGCAGTGGACTGGTCTAAGACAGCGATTTTTAATAATTAATAACTCATTAACTATTGCAAAACCTGCAAAGTGGTACAGGACTTTTCGACTTAGTCTAGTCCACTCTATCCCACAATAAGCGTTGATGCGGGTATTACATAACACCCTGTATACGATAACGAACTAGTTTCCTTTTATCGCTTGCCGTTCCAACGCTTTTCCCTCAAGATTGCAATACTTTTGAACAGCAAATTGTAACAAAAATGTAACGTATCGTGCTTGAAACTGCATGGAACAACAAAGTTTCCGCTTAATTTCACGATAAACAATGTATGTATTTTAGGTATACTTTAACCATCACGCAATTATTCACGATATAAACTGGACTTACTCGTGATTATTATCACATGTTGAATTTATAAAATGATTATAGAATCGATATAGAAATATCAAATGTCACGAAATGATGTCATGTTATCATATAGAGATACGTAGAACTTCCTTTATTCTATGTCGAATATATAAATAATATTCAGAGTTCCAATTTTTTATATTTTTCTTAAGTATGACGTTAATTTATAAAACCTCATTTAGCTGGAATATTTTCTATATTAAACTGACGCCATATTTAAACGAGATATCCAAATTGAAATATCCGAATATTAATTTTTAATGCCCCGCTTTTCAAAACGATTTATGCTCTTCTATTTGGAAAGAACATTTTAATAGGAAAATACATCGAATGGCTGGCCGTTTCAATCGTTATATTTCAAGAGAATAAATAGTCCAAATTAAATCGCACGTTAAATATAATCGTGGTGCATGTATAATTACATACATTCGATAAATATCGCTGTGAGAAGTGCCGGAACAATGAGGCCGACATAATAATGCTCTACGCGTATGCAACGGAGACTCGTATTTGCACTCTTCGAATATTTGGCTGGCAAACGGTCACGTTGCCTGGAGCTCAATTTTACATCAGCGATACGCGTACTGTACAAAATTAAAACAATATTAGGAGTAACCTGAATCGCGCCGGGCGAACTGGGAAAATTGCAAATCGTGCCGCGATTTCTCAAATATTCAACGAACGTAAATTCATCGCGTTTACATAACGAATTTTATGAAACTCGACTGTGCATTATCATACGTAACGTTGTCACGGCGTGCATCATCTCATTTTACATGACGAGACACAGGTATATCGGTTTGACGAGCGCTCGTCGTGCGAACACGTCTTTTCATGTCACAGGATGGTGACATAAAAGTATCGCAAACTGTTTTCTGAAAAAACGTTAGAAATAAAATACCCCTCGAGGTATTTAAAAATAGAAATCTTTTATATGTATATATAGTGAATGAGTCGCTGCATCCAAGCACGTTTCAATAGTTTAATCCACCGTATCTGAAGGTTCGACAAAACCCAGATATTATAGAATACAATCTTCAGAATTTTACTTTGCGTTTGTCGTTGTAATGAATCCAAGTTCTAAAATAATTTTGACAATTTTATTGGCATTATTTAGGTCCAAACTTAATTTAAAATATATTAAAAGTTGATTACGACTGAAGTTCTTAAATTAGCAAGGGTTCAATTAATCCCGCTTTATCGTATATTTTTGCATCTTATTAATGCTGGAAAAATAGAACTGTACCACTTTCTTTAACTTAATTATCTTTAAATACAATATTTTATATAGATGAAGTTATTACTTTAAGTGCAAAAATATCAAGGTGAAGTAAAAACAAAAATTTGACGTGATATTTTATCCACAATATTATCTAGAATTGCCCAAAAAATGTTAAATTTACTTGTCCTATCTTTCTAAAAAATACGATAACTGTATTTTACTTATTTCATAAAATATTGCGAAAAATCTTAAAACATGAAAAAGAAATTTTATTACTAATGGTTTCTGAAAAAGTAGTTTTCGTTTTTCGACTATCTTGTATAACAGCGGTTAAAATTCGTTTTAGCCTTAAGCTATTTGTTCTCACCTTTCATAGTGTCATTCCTAGGAGATCGTCCTGAAACAAAATGCACGTGGTGTATTAGCACGTCGTGTCGAGAAACTCGCAGAATTGTACAAAGAAAGTTTAAATTACACGAGTGTAAATATTTACATACGAGAGAGGAAAAAGAAACATATTCTTTTTCCTCGCGTTTCCATCAAAGTATATGTTTCTACTAAGGACATACACATCGTTATTACTTCATAAATATTATATAAAAAGGTTTTTCTTTTAAACCCTTTCTATAGAAAATAATATTGGATTGACTGGCAAATTAGCATCTGATAAAAATTATGTCCAGAAAATCTGAGAAATTCTAAGAAACTAGGGTTTTCCACTTGTGGAAAATAAGATAACGAAAGATTCTGGAACGAAAGCGTAATTGTGTGTGGATTAAGATGTACGTGCACAGCATATATATAATATCGTTCTTGCATTTTTGTAAAACGTTGATACAAACTTTTCGGCTTCACAATAAAATCACGACACAAGGGTTTGGACGATCGCATGCTACGGCTTAATTAAATGTAAGTGTTACTAATCGGCACCGCCTTGCTGGCAGCACAGATAGCAATTATCACCGATGCCTGCCTGGCAATATATAACGTGCATGAATATCGTCAAATTACCGCATTGCTGCTGTTTATTGTCAACCACCGCGCAGATGTCTGTCGCGGATAAGAAACCTGCATGACGTTTTATTAAACACATCTTTTTCAATCGAGCTGCCATGAAATGTGACATGAGATACACGCGTGTGCATACCGAGTTTATATGGCAACGATGGTACTCTGCGATATTGCGGGTCCTGGATAGCTCAGTAGGAAGAGTAGAATTTGAATCTGGGAGCTTCCGCTTGCTAGGCAACAGCTCTTTCACTGAGCTATCCAGATCCATACTCGAGTCTCTTTTTGTTCACCTATTTACTTTATTTTATTGAACAAAGTAGGAATAGTATAAAGAAAGATAAGCACGTAGCTTCCGTGTGTTGAGATGTCTATGACGCATTAATGCTCCATTCACCTTCGCAGTCACAATGGAATGATGATACTATCTCTCTATTAAACTTCTCTACTGCGATGTTTTTGAATGTAGGTATATATGTACCTATTACTTTGCATACGAGAAATTCTCTTGGACTTTTTATCGGGATTAATAATATTGGATTGACTGTGGAGAAAATTTGTGTCACACCTCGAAAAGTTGATCTCTGAGAAATGTGGAAAGCTCCGGGAAAATGGGAAAATCTTCAAATAACGTAAAGAAGAAACGATAAAAGATTGTGTGACAAAAGCATTGTATGACTTAAGATATACGTACACAAAAGTATCTCGGATCTTTTGTAAAAGTATGCGGAGAGAATTTTTTCTTAAAATTTATCCTGAAAATCATGTAATCGTGGAACAACATGGCATTTTAAAGAATTTTATGGGAGTTTTTGAAATTTTACCATACACTTTACTAATAAAATGTATACTAAGTATAATTACTAGTAGAATGTATAGTAAAATTTCAAAATACTGTTATAAAATTCTTCAAAATGCCATATTGTCCCACGATTGCATGATTTTCAGGGTAAATTTTAAGAGAACATTTTCTCCATGTAGGCGCAATTTTTAAGCAACTCAAACTAAAATAATGGCACAAGAATTTAAAGGTAATAGCAATATGTGCTAACGCATATCTTAGACCGTCTAATTAAATTAATTAAACCCTGTGATTAATAAATTCGTCATGCAGGATTCACTTAAGCAGTAGAGTGTTCTTCTCGTTTGAATAATACGAAAAAGCTTTCGAGACAAGATGTAAAAGAAGCTAAAGAGGGCTGCCGTAGACTGAACCGTCTCAAATGACGCTTCTATATTTAATTGGACCCGACAATCCGCCATTTATTTCTTCGCAATCTCCTCTCAATCAATACCGGAAGAGCGTATCTTTTATCTGACGAATATCAACTGTGGATACCGCGTCGCGGATAAAGTTAAAGGTGCATTCGTTTACATACATATGCGAAGATGAACGTTCGACGAGCGACGAGATCGATAAAAAGCGAGCAAGAGAGAGAGAGATATCGTGCGGGAAGAGAACTGGTAAGCTCCGGACAAATAATTTCCAGCTTTTGCGTGAAATTCCACGCGCTATCTCTTTCTCCCTCTCTCTGATTTAGTCGTTATATTTATCGCGGCGACAATAAAAAAGCTCGCGGCTATGTACAAGACATCGCTTCTGTCGCTGCTCGCACGTGCAATCGTTGAATTTCGCTCGCGGATGTCTTCGATCCACCTCGCTTTTCTGGCACCCGTTCAACGCACGCCGAATTCCCTCGACCTGCTCGCTCTGCTCGAACAGCCAGTCGCGATTCCACCAGATATCATTTGACATTTCGATCGAGTGATAAGCGATTTGAAAAGACCGGTTTCGTGATTTCTGCTGAAATCGATATATACCGCGTCGATCGGGCGATACTGCATTAGTAATTATGCAACATATCAGATGTCTCGATATCGTATCGCCTTCATGTTACAAAAAAATTATTAACGTTTTTACTACACTGATAAAAAAAATATCTTCATCCAAAAAATATTAGTTTACTCAAGAAAATTATTCGTTAGGTGGCTCTTGAGAGCTTATTAACTTAAGTTAAAAAAATAATAAACAAATTAAAACATGCATTGCTTTAATTTAAGTATTTATTAAATATCAAAGAATAGATAATTGTAAATTAAATATATATTGTGCATTAATAAAAATTTTAAATTTAATTCTATAAAATGTTTACTAGATGTAATTTTCAGTTTTAACAAAAACAATTATTTCGTTTAATAAATAGTATTCTATATCTCACGAAATCTTTATTTGAATGTGGAAAATGTAATGATTTAAATTAATTTACTTAATATAATACATAGATTTACTTAAAATTTGATATTTTTCTTTAAATAGAATAAATATTTACTTCGGTATAAAAAAATTTTTAAGTAAATCTATTTACTTAGTTAAAAAAATTTTTTTGTCAGTGTAACAAAAATTTACGAGTCAAACGCGCCGTTTCTTCTGCTAGATTTAAAAGAGTGCTGTCACTCTTTTAATTTCAATATGCTTGTATTTTACAAGTCACTTACTGTCGGTTTCATTAAATTTATAAATTTCAGTCGTGCTCGTCACATTTCTTCAAAATTTTCCCGCTTGTTTAAAATTTCTAAAGAGATAATTCGTTTTAACGGCAAGAGAAAAACAAGATACGACAGACTGAAACACTCATATTGTATCGTCTGATACTGATATATTCCGTTACAGAGCGTGATTGCAAGATAACGATATCGATGAAAAATAAGCTGTCTTACTTGCACTGAGAAAAAAAAATAGTTGCAGTTACCACAATCTCACTATAATTTATAGTCATTTTTGGACCCAGCCATATTTTTATAATTCTTCCAACTACGTAAGTTATGGTTGACCTAACAATATATTATAGTTCTCATAGACACAATATTGGTCCATGCAACTTATGATATGGTTATCATAAACCAAAACGAGCTTTTAATTTGGTTAGGTATACTATAAATATTGCAATAACAACCACAAATAAAATTTCGAATAACTATATGTAATAGTAATTTCATTATATTCATTGGTTACATCACTTTGCACTCATAAAGAATAGTACAAGATAGCATCTTTCAAAGAAAAGATAAGCAATCTTATACGAATACGTAAACTTATCCGTATTTATAACACTCTAAGCGGTTTTTTACTTACGAGAGAGTCTTGTACCGCGCGTCCCTCTAGTGAAGACATTCCGAACCACTTCACTTTTGTTTACCATGCGAATAGTAAAGTGGATGATAGAAAGTATAGTTAAATTTACTATTATTGTACTTGCACCTACTATATAAAACTAGTTAA